ATATTTATAAAATTAAACGTATATATATATATAACAAAACATATTTTTAAACGTATTTATAATAAAACGTATTTATATAAAACATATTAAAAATAACATATTACAAACATATTAATAACATATTAAAAATTTATTAATAAACAAAAATTTGAAAAAAAAATATTTTTTTTGGCCGGGACCGGATGGGACCGGAACTGGGACCGGATTCCTTAACCAGTTACCGGTAAGCTTGACCGGTTACAAGGTATTTCACCGGAACCGGGACCGGGACCGGTTATGGCAGGACCGGTTACCGCCGGTTTTTGTCTTGATTAGGACCGGTAGGGACTGGTTAAGGACCGGCCCGGGACCGGATTTTGGCCATCTCTACCGGTAATTACGCTACACTTGTCGTGGTGCCACAAACGTTGATAGATGAAATGGAAGTACTCATGGAACCAAACATTGTGGACGCTGTTTTAAAGAACTCAGCAGGAGAAACAGAGGTTCTAATCAAATGGAAAAACCTACCGGGTTATGAGGCTACATGGAAGAAGCTTGACGCCATTAACCACCCAATTTTCGGATTTTCACCTTGAGGACAAGGTATCGTCCAGGGAGGGGAGCAATGATAAAGGTTGGAAAACCTATTTCAAGAGAAAGTAAAAGATAATTGCTATCTTATCCAAATCTTATCCAACTTAATTAGTATTTTAAATATTTCAATAATTTCCTTGTACTAGGATTCCACATTATACTACAGATGGAGGGTAGGGCAAGCATTAGAGAGTAGGCAAATTAATGTAACTTTGTTGGTAGTTTATTTTGTTTGTCTCGGTTATTAATCAATAAAGTTCGATTCAAGTCCTATCACAAAAAGAGTTGTTTCTTTAGAAAACTTTGCTTGATTGTATTGATAAAGTTTTCTGGTTTCTTAAAGACAAATGGATGTCTGTAGCTGTTGAGCCTCGCTCATAGCCTCGTTATTGATATTTGACAATTTTATCCATGTCTATGATGTGCAGGGAGAATTTGCAACTTCTTAGGCAGCGTTACTATTATGCTACATGGAAAGCTGATGGTACAAGATATATGATGCTAATTACAATGGATGGATGTTATCTAATTGACAGAAATTTTGTCTTCCGAAGGGTTCAGATGAGATTCCCCTGCAAAGTAACTAGTGATGTATGTTTACACTGAGTTTACTTAAGAAAGTTTCTTATTTTGAGGTCCTCATGTAAAACAAGTAATATAGACTGCATTCATTTTGACATGAAAATGATTTTTTTTGCAAGGGTTTAGCTGAGAAGGTTCATCACTTCACACTGCTTGATGGTGAGATGATAATTGATACTGTGCCAGATACTCGGAAACAAGAAAGACGTTATCTGATTTATGATTTGATGGCTATCAATAAAGTCTCTGTCGTTGAGGTAAAGTTTAATGATTTTCTGTGCCAAGCATCTTCCTGTTGGATGAATTTAATCATTTATGTTATGCTTTTTTGCTGCAATTTGGTAACATTTAAGGCATCATCATTCTTGGCATATTTCACCTTATTAAATTTATTTTGTTGCTGTAGTTTGTGGATTAAGTAAATAAAATGTAATTGTATTCTAACATATTTTTAGGTGAATTATGTATTTGCATTTACAACAAGCATTCTTTTAATACTAGTAAAGTTCAATTCCCTACCTTCAAGGTTAATTGATTGTTATTGTGGATGAGTGAATATTCTTTTTTCCACTTGTACATATAAATAATTACTGTAGAAGGTAATAGTTTTTCTAATGCTAGATACAATAATAAGAAAACAAAGGGGAAGTTCGGGAAAAGTGACACTTTAGTACACTCATTTTTTGCTATGTTTTCATATATAGCTTTCTTTTGTACTTCTTCATTTGGGGCCAAAAGTCAAAGTGATTATCTATTAGTTGTTCGGATCTTATTCCAGGAACTTTGTATATTTTTCTTCAACATTATTGAAGAATTAAGTTATACAATTCTTTTTTGGCTAAAGAAGTCCTAAAAGAAAACATCTCTATGGCAGTTACAAAATTTCATTTACATGATGTTCTGTCTATGTTCATTCTGTTACATGAGATACTGTTCTGGTGCATACAAATTATATAGATATCATTTTACAGTTGGTTTGTGGCACTGAATAACAAGGTGAACCATATTCACCATGGGTTGGGTTTAAACAAGAAAAGGTCAAAGTAAGAAAACACGAGAACACCTATGTCACATGTGATCTTACAGTCAAATCACAAGTGATTAAGAAATTTTGGTCAAACCAGGGGTGTGCTGGGCGACTTGGCCGTGCGACCTAGGTGGTTTGACCCTATTTTTAATCACACGTGATACAAGTGCTCTTTTACATTGATCCTGTTCTCGTTTGTGCCTCCCTCTATATACCATTTAGTGATGAGGAAAAGGAGACACATGTAAACATGTAAACATGCATCTTGGGCCGCGAAATCATGATTTTGTTGTGTCGGTCTTGGCTTAACCTCATATTTATAATTGATACAGAGACCTTTCTACGAACGATGGAAAATGCTGGAGAAGGAAGTAGTTGAACCTCGAAACCATGAACGCCATAAAATATATCAGAGACAACATTCTTTGTATAGATATGACTTGGAGCCGTTCAGGGTATTTATTTAGACCCATTATTAAAGCTGACTCAGCTGATACCTATTTTCTTGGTTGAACTCGTTACTTATCTGGTGAAGTTTTAACAGGTAAGGAGGAAGGACTTTTGGTTGCTTTCTACCGTCATTAGACTTTTGAAGGAGTTTATTCCAAGGCTTTCGCATGATGCAGATGGTCTTGTTTTTCAGGTGCTAATCCTCATACATACACATATTTATGATTTATTGACGTCCTAAGATGGAGAATAACGCCTGAAACCTTTTGACTTGGTTTTTGTAAAGATTATTCTGTTTCAATTAGTTTCTGTACATTATTTGTGACTGTAATAATGTAGCAACAATTATAATTGCATGTTAGAAGAACCAAAAAAGGGAAGTTTTCACATGGTACCTTACTATCACATGATATCCTCCACATCAGCATATATAAGAGCATATCCTCTTGGATGATCAGCTTAAAACCTAAATGACCATAATGCCCTTACTCAGACTGATGGTACCGTGCTTGCCCTGGTTATAAAGCTTGCTTTCTATGCACGTTAAAATCACTATACAACAATAAGGTGCATCCTTTACAGGTTAACATTCTGAATGGTCTTATTTCTTATTATAAAAGCACCCTTTTCAATGTAGGCTGTCCAAAAGTTTGACTTAAAAAAGCTGTTTCCCAACTCACGACACGGATTATATTTATAAATTATTAGATATAGACAAAGTCCCACAAAAGCAAATTGGAATAGCAACAAATCAATGATGACAAGATTGAAGTTCAATGAAATGATTGAAGAAATTGACCAACAACGAACAGAAAAAATACAAAGCCTTTGGTCTTCTTGATTCTGCTACCCATGGTCCAATATAAAGACACAGGATCCAATCTGCACACAGAACATAACATGCAGAGAGAATACGAAGGACATGAAAGAGATTGGATAGGTGGGAAAGAGTATGTGGGAGGGGTAGTGGTTAGCGAGAATATGAATCTATACAGGACATACATGGAATTTTATTCATTCATCTTTGGTTTTTAAGTTGTGTTCTTATGCTTGCATAGAGTTTTCTGTGCATGAAAGTAATGGCATCTTGGTCAATTTTTCCTTCCATTTTCTATGCAGTGGAGTAGTCTGCTTAGTGTGTCTATTTCCCCATCATATCAAAATGGGATGGTGTAAAATCTATTCGTCCTACATTAATCAGAGGGACTGCATATGTGTATGTGTCAGGGTTGTGGTATTAGAGGTACTCATGATGGATAGTACTCAAGGAATATGATTCAACTCACAATTTGTAGGAAGCACATAGGGCCCACTTGATGGACATTGGAGTGGGAAACCATCTTCCTCAAATACTGTTTTCCATATAAACTCACACACACGAGAGATTTATATGTATATGTTTATGGAAAATAAAGCTGACACGTATAGATATTGAGAAAACAAGAGAGGGCAACTGTGCATTCTCTCTCCGTGTGGAACACCCCCACCCAATGTGCTCAGTCACCTTGTTTCTGCATAAAAGGTGGTAAGGTTTATTTCTTAACCCCAATTACATTCAATTTATACTTTTTCATCACTAAATTTATCACTATTTTCAAACACCTAATTGTATTTTAAAACAAACCAAACGAACCCAGAATATCCCACTCGAGAGTAGGGTCTAGGCCAGTTTGTAGTTTCTCCAAACCCATTTATCATCAATTTGAAGTTGCTGCTAAAAAAATAAACCTTGTAAGTACATGTATATCTGCTTATGGTACAATATGCTCATAAAATCTGGGCTGTGCACAGTTGGAGTATGTACTAGTGTGTAAAATCCATGATCCCAAACATGATACTTATCTTAATAGCATCAATAATGATCATCGTACATGCTTTTTCTGTGGAGTAATTATCTTGATCATCCATTCTATCCTCGTGAATAAATACATACATTTTTATGACTAAATAATACATAATTCCCAAATAATAACGAATTAAATTTTTCATCAATTTGTCTTTGCCTTCAAATACCCTGTGACATGCCGCTTCTGTTAAAGATATTGTTAAATAAGGGACAGATAACATGTTAACTATGAAGTGGGCAGATGTATGTATGTCATAATAAGGAATTAGTATGTAGTTTGTTGTTATTTTATGTTGGTAAATATGTTACTAAACGCTATGTGGCAGGGTTGGGATGATCCTTATGTCCCACGTACACACGAAGGACTTTTGAAGTGGAAATATGCATCAATGAACTCAGTGGATTTTCTTTTTGAGGTTGATTATCTGTGAACTTAATAATATTTTGTTTGCATACTGCTGATTTCATGTTGTTATAAAGGTTACTACTTTCCTTTTTTCAGATGGCTGAGGATCGGCAACTGCTTTTTCTTCATGAACGAGGGAAGAAGAAGCTGATGGAGGGGAATAGAATTGCATTTGGAGGTTAGTTGTCGATATCTTCATTTATTTTGAGAAGTTGAGTTGCATTCTGATATAGTTTATTGTGTGCACAGATGATGTTGATCCTGCATCATACTCAGGGAAGATTATCGAGTGTGCTTGGAATAAAGAGGAAGACGTATGGGTCTGTATGCGAGTGAGGACAGATAAGGCAACCCCAAATGATTTCAACACGTATAGGAAGGTACGGATATAGTTTTTTCTTAACCTTAGTTACAAGAAGTTGTGTTATTTATTCCAAAACCAAATGTGAGGAGGATGTGTGAGTTTATTTGTTGCGTTTGCTGTACATCTACTTGAAAAAAGATGAAGAAATAAAGTCGTGTTGTCATATTTGTTGCATTTGCTGTATTTATACTTGAAAAAAAAAGAAATAAAGTTGTGTTTGTGTAATTGAACATAGGTGATGAGGAGCATAAAGGACAACATCACAGAGGAAGTGCTGTTGGATGAGATAAATGAGATCATACAATTGCCAATGTATGCAGATAGGATACAGCATGACAGCAAAGGCCACCACCACTCTACTACAAGGCCTAGAGGAATGGTAGCATAGAGAAGCAGGCAAATGTTGTGTAATTAGGCAGGCAGGCTTTGATTGATGAATATTGTTGTAAATTGTGCTGGTGAGTTTGCATGATCCAGTTGGACCACTTGATCTATTTTAACAAGTTGTTTTCAAGTAACACTCAAATGAATCAATCAATTAGGATTAGTATTTCGTAGCGAGTAGTAAATGTATATTTTCGTTTCCTCATATTGACTTGACATGCAATTCTACTCAATGATGACCCTTATTTTCTTGTTTTATGCTCCTAACAGTTATAGACATGAACCGAAAGGGTTGGGTTCCATTGTCAAATCAAAATTTCGTGAGAACTGTACAAACACTTTGTTAACGGAAGTTCACATAAGTTAACGTATCTTAACATTGCATCATAAGGTATGTTAATGTACTTCATCTCGTGTAAACATTTTTACTATAAACTTCTCATGAAATTTTAATTTTGCATGCGATCCCAGTTCTGAACTGAATAACCAAACTGTATACCAGTTTGATTTCCCTCCTTTATGTTGTGTTCATGGGTTGTTTTCTAGTGTTTAGTCGTTCAACATTTGTGTACTTGTTGACATCACATGAATGGTCCTTTTGACCCTAAAAATGACAAGTAACTAAATGTTTATTTAGGTAAGCGTTTTTCAAGTCACATTACTTTACCGGATGAATATTACTTGGCAAGAGCGAAGACAAGGACCGAGAGTCTTATGCCGTATGTGAGAGCGACGACTTTTACCATGGTTAGCGCAAATCGGGTAAATTGTTGCATATGATGTCGTTTTAATGGACTAAAATCTTACCTGGTAAGTAAGTGACAGTGTTCAATTTTATCAGTAAGTATCTACTAGATAAGTGTTTGGTAGAAGACCCCTAACTGACTATGGTGGTTTAAAAAAATATATCTCGACCTTCATTGAAGTGAGCACTAATTGCAAGAAAAAAGGATGGATGTATAAATAAATACTCAAAACCGTATATATGACCAAAATGAATGTGGATCAACAAATAGAGCTCTTAATATAGGTTATGAATTACTTTGTAATTGCAAAACAACAAAGCTTTGGTATATTTATTTTGTTTTATTGTTTTATTGTACTTTATTATTAATTTGTAAATACATTAAGAGAAATGATATACTTTTTTTTCGTTTTATAAGTGTAGGGATTTGTTCTTTCAAAATATATGCATGGAATTAGTCCCTCAACTCTAATAGATTGTGTCCTTGCGTCTACCTCCATTAGACCGCGTCCGTTAAAGCCCTCATGAAACATGATTCAATTCTAAAAGCTCCACCGTCAGTTATAGTTAGGGATGATCATGGATTGGGTTGACCAGATCAAAGACATTTGAACAACTTAACTCAATGTCTACGGTTTGAACATTCTCAACCCAATTCAAACCAAAATGCAACCCAACCGAAACCGTACAAGTTGGTCGGGTTGATACTTTGGTATATCAAAATATTGTTGTAACCTTGAATATTATGTTTTCTCTACTAATAATTCATCTTTCGGGTTGGTCGGGTTAGTCAGGTTGATACTTTGATACATTAAAACATTCTCCTAACCTTGAATATATTGTTTTCTTTACTAATAACTCATTTTCACCATCCATCATTTGATACAATTTATCCATAATTTTTAAATCTCAAGTATGTCATATTCAACTACTTTCCTTAATATGTTCACATTTACATATAGACTTGGAATCATGTGAGACCAGCCTGTTTTTTGAGACCCGTGAGACCACCTTTTTACACTTAAAATTTCACAGCAAAATGCTGTGAAGGTGACTTTTTTTAACCTTCACAGTGTTTTTGCTGTGAAGGTTCGACTTTTTTTTAACCTTCACAGTGTTTTTGCGGTGAAGTTTCAAGTGTAAAAATGTTATCTCACGGGTCTCACGAAAATAGGCTGGTCTCACGTGAACCAAACCCCTTACATACACACACACACACACACACACTAGTGGTGTACCCGCACGATGCAACGACGGTAAATCACAATTCTGAAACATTACTTTGGCCTTGAATCATGAGTTTTTGTGGTTATTTTGCAAGTCAACTAATATATAAAGTTGAAGGTTAATACGGTGTATTAGCAAGATCGAATGAAAAATTATTTGCACACGTATTAGGTTTCTGAACCCATCTACTCAGAAATCATTACAAAACTTGAAATTCTTGAATGAACAAGGAAATACAATCATTTTGAATTTGAATTGAGAAAGTAAAAGTTGAAGAAGATGTATAGAAGACTGTGATGGAAAGAGCGTCTGAAACCTTCCTAGTTGGGTTTAAAACCCTTTGCATCAAAAGCTTGTACATTATGCTTTGTGAGTTGTGATTAAGAGATTTTTTAAATCTAGGCTTTAAAGAGTAGTACTATGCGCTTAAAGACTTGTATTTAAGACATTGTCCTAAATGCTTATTAATGTAGTATAGATATATAATATATTAACTAGTTATATAGAGATGGAGAAGAGATTGAAAATATATGTATATGAGAATGTACGTGATGGTGTACTTGTGTAATGTACATATTAATAGGGACTTAATAATCATATTAAATCTGAGAAATAAAGGATATCGAGTTTATCGGGTTGGTTTGGGTTCAATGATTGTAACTCAATTCCAACCTAATACCTACGGTTAGAAGATTTTACAACTCGATTGGACATCGGTTGCTTAGGGTCAGGTTATTTCACCTTGGGTTGATCAGATTGGTCAACCCAAGTAAGACCAAGAACTCTTAATACAAATGCTTGTAGCTTCGGCACCTCATTTCCATAGCTATCCCACTATTGACGTACATATATATTAATGACAAAATAAATTAAGTAGTTAATCATTTACTTTACCTAAACTATAATGAAGAAAAGAAGAGTATTTACCAGGTGGGTCCACTAAGTGGACGTGTCAGTTAAGTTGACAAAGAAGACGTGAATCCAAACAATCCTTATTTGTATCTGTACGCTTGAAGTCCGTTATCAACCTTTGTTATTGTCGCTGCATCATTTAACATTCTTGCCATGCAATTGTACAATCCAAGTTTGATCTCTGCATGATTGGAGACGATGGTACTCCGCCTGAATCGAGGATAAAGGTAATATACAATTGCATGCAAGTCGCAATGCAATTGATGCTCCCACTTTGCTATTAAGACCAATAGCACAATTGGTCCAATCATTTGATTTAATGCTTTTAAATGGTCATTATTGTCAAATATTGTTCCTCCTTTAGCTCCTTAGATAGCTCCTGTAATTACTCCTTTCCATTATTGTATATCATCTATATAAACCTCCCATGTATTCAGTTTTGAAACAATTGAATTTAATACAATATTATTTTTCCTCAATCTCATTATACGGTATCAGAGCCATAAAGGCTCCTCTGAGCAATTCTCGATCCCTCTCACAGAAACCCTAAATCACCTTCAAACACCCATCAATGGCTCCAACCATTCAACTAACTGCCGCTACCCACTTCCCCATTAAACTCACCTCTGTCAATTTCCCTGTTTGGCGCAAACAAGTGGAATCCACCCTAATCGGGTTAGAACTCGAAGCGTTCATCAATGGCAGNCCCATTAAACTCACCTCTGTCAATTTCCCTGTTTGGCGCAAACAAGTGGAATCCACCCTAATCGGGTTAGAACTCGAAGCGTTCATCAATGGCAGCCGTGAACCGCCAAAGAAATTAATTGACGACAAGGCAAATCCAGAATACCTACCTTGGTATCGACAAGACCAAATCCTCATCAGCACAATCCTTGGAAGCTGCTCGGAATCAATTCAGCCCCTTATCTTGTTTGCAACTACTGCCAGAGATGCCTAGGAACGGTTAAACTCAAGCTTTGCCAGTGCTTCACGTTCCCAATAATCTCACTCAAATCCAAATTGGTTAAAAACCCCAAAGGTAATCGCACTATTTCTGAATATCTCCAAGATATGCGCTCGATTGCAGATGATCTCGCCCTCGCACAAAGCCCTATAGCCGAGGAAGATCTGCTTGTTCACATCTTATCTCAATTAGGTGAAGACTACAACACCATTGTGGCTGCCATAAAGGTTCGAGAAAATCGCTATCTTACCCGGAACTCTTTGACAAATTAAGTGATTTGGAAAGAGCCCTCAAAGAAACTACACCAAACCCTGAACCAGTTTTAGCTACTGCTAATTATACCACTTGACAACAAGGACAACAACACTATTGGTACCTATCTGAATCCTCTGGTCCACATAGAGGTGGAGGACGCAACAACAGAGGAACATGTCGCTCATCTTGGACAACACCTCACCCTCACGGAGGCCGACAAAATCGCACCAGCAGCTTCTGCCAATTATGTAATATTCCAGGGCATCAGACTCAGGACTGTCGGAAACTATCAAGATTTATGAGAGACAACAACATTACCATCGGTAACCCTGCTTTAGCAACTCCTACAGAAAATGTCACAACATCTGGATCAACGCCTATTTCTCCAACGTGGTTATTTGACAGTGGCGCCTCAAATCATGTCACCTCTGATAGGTCCACACTTCATAACATCTCTAAATATGGGGGACCTGATGAAATAATACTTGGTGATGGAAAATGTTTCAAAATATCTCATGAAATAATACTTGGTGATGTTGCCACACTATTTCCCCAATTCAAACTTCTTGTTGAGAAGTTCTTCCAATTACCAATTGTGTCAATCTTCACTGACAATGGCGGTAAATACCAAGGCCTTAAGCCATTCCTACAAGCTCATGGCATCTCTCACTACACCACCCTGCCTCACACTCTTGAACAGAATGGTGTCGCCGAACGATGACATCGACATGTGGTTGAGACGAGACTTGCTCTTCTCCATTATGCCAAATTGCCACTCACCTTTTGGTCTCATGCCTTCCAAACCGCTGTCTATCTTATAAACAGACTTTCCACACCCATCCTCAACAACCAAAGTCCATTTCAACGTCTCTTTCACCAAACACCAAACTACACAAAACTCAAACCCTTTGGTTGTCTTTGCTATCCCTGGCTAAGGCCGTACACCAACTCTAAGCTACAACCGCGATCGACCCCATGTCTTTTCCTAGGTTACTCCACCTCCAAATCCGCTTACATATGCTTTGGCCCTACCACTCGTCGCCAATATCACTCTTGT